AGGATTCCATAGACTCAAGAAGATTCGTAGCAACAAGGACGTTCACTTCCTTAGATTGCAGGACCTTGTTTGTTTTGTTAATTTTTTCTAGCATGTATTCCAAAGAATCGTGAGAAAGATTGTTTCCAGGTTTTCCATTTTTGTGCTCAATCCTTTTGCCTCTCGCCTTGTATTCACTTGCTGTTCATAGTCAGCTGGTAGAAAATCCAGTGAATGTTTTATTTTCTCGAAACCCCCATACAGAGCATGAGAAGCATCAAAATGTGCTGACCATCGTGTGTCAGAAAGACGATTGACCACAAAATTTTTTCCTAAAGATGATGTCAATACATTCCAGCGATGAGTAGAACCAGCAAAAATTAATAAAGATGCTGAACAAAGCCAAAGAATTTGACAGTCTGTATGCAGACGAGGAGTCACAATAACGTGGCTGAAATATGTTGAACTACACACTAGAAAGTGAAGGGACGACGACGTTTCGGTCCGTCCTGGACCATTCTCAAGTCGATTGTCTTTAGACTTGAGTCTCAAGACTTGAGAATGGTCCAGGACGGACCAAAACGTTTTCATTCCTTCACTTTCCTTCACGTGTGGTTTGTTTAACAGTCTGTAGTCAACACTCTGTTGTTTTTACTCCCACCAAGTTCAGGCTGTGTCCAACACAAGGGACATTGATGGAACACTCATTGAGTTGTTGAATCTGAGCTTGCAATCCAGTATATCGTCCAGACATATTTAAGGCATTATTGTATGACTGACCCTATGACGGCAGTTTGTTAGTGGAATTTTGTTCTCATTAAAAAAAATCCACGATAGTGTCTTTTAGATCATTTGCTCCATGAGAAATGATGGGGGATGAACATTAAGAAACGTCCCACAGGCTCACAGCCTTTAATGCATCAGACAGCAAATGTCTGTTGATCTATGTGTGCGATGTCTGGAGTGGAATCTATACTTATTGAATAATATTTGTCTCTTTTTACGTCTTCAAAAATAGTACAATGACCCTGTTGTCCCATTAATTCAATAAATTCCTCGAAAATATTTGCAGATAAATTTGACGGATTCCATTGTACATTATTTCCATATATTTTTAAATGTTCTTCCAAGAAAGTGTCAAACTCACTCAGCAACTCTAGTCTACCTAAATAGTTGCCATTTTTTGCTGACCCAATAATATAATTTGTGGCACGAAATGGTACACCACGAGAGGCAAGAAAGCGATTTACAGAAACCACACGAGTTAACACTTATGCCAATATTCCTGCTCTTAGGGATGTTGCTCAAGTAATAAAGAATCTACACTTCCAGTTTCTTTATGACATCAAATATGCTATCATGGACTTTCGATGATCTTCTCCATTTTCATGTTCTACAACAACTTTGCAATGCTTCCAGTCATTGAACCTCAATATAGCAATGAGAGACTCTTTCGTAGACAATAGGCGATGTTCAAAGCAGTACAAACGACCTTGGGATGGTGAATAGAGTAGCCATTCACGTTTTACATACTCGCCATTCCGCAGTTCACATTTGGACACATTGTTTGATAAATACCTTGCGTTCATATTCTCTACTCCAGCTGTATTATGCACTCTGAGTGAGTTTGAAGGGTTGCTATCATGATTCTGACACGATGAGGGGCACACTACGAATCCAATAAATTATTGTGTTAGTATCATTAATGTTCCATTGCCCCGGATCTGTCTCTTGGATTGCAAACTCCTTTACTGTTACAGATTTGGGTATTTTCTCTTGTAAAATGTCACCAGCAGCAGCAACAGGCAATGATGGTATATCTGCTGAAACGATGTAGCAGGAAACTGAAACATGTAGCAGGAATGGATGTAGATGTAGATGCTATATCTGAAGGAGGAGTACTACTGCTGACATTGCAGGAGTGGATGCTAATGTAGATGCTATATCTGAAGGAACAGTACTAGTGGCTGACATTGCAGGAGTGGATGCTGATATGGATGCTATATATGAAGGAACAGTACTAGTGGCTGACATGCAGGAGGGATGCTGATGGATGCTATATATGAAGTACTAGTGGCTGACATTGTAGGAGTGGATGCTGATATGGATGCACTGTTGTTGCACCTGTGTTGACCCACGATGTTAATTATGGAAGTTTTCCTATTTTCTCCTCCTCCTCTGCAGCTCTCTTCCTCTTCTGTGTTCCACTCAAACATTACGTTTCATTTCTGCTGAAAGAGTTATTCATCTGGAGATATATATCCTAATTATTAAGTATTTAGTCCCACATTAGGATGTAGGGTTATATTATACAAGTTTGCTTGCAACAAGACCTAAATATTTGAAAATTCTGCTTCCATAATGAACATCTAGGTTCGTGGGGCCCCCTATGCTCGTGGGGGCCCCCCTGGCCAAGTGCCCATCGGGGCCATGCAGTAAGACGGCTCTGCTGCCGAGAGGGTACATTGTAGCCAAACACAACAGTTATAATTAGTAATTCCTATGTTGCATAACTCAGTTTGTTAGAGTTACGATTGAACCTACCTAGGGGCTGGGGAGTCTTGTTGCCTAGCCCCCTACACAAGTTTTATGCATATCTTGTCAGGTATTATATGTACAAGTAGATAAATATTAACAAGCACTTCACTGTTGTTGTCGTGGTCGAAGACGTCCGATTACATAGATATTTGAAGTCTCTTCAATATCAGCAGTTCGTTTCGTGTGTCACGAGAAGGAACTTGTGCTAGCTCACGCGTCTCTGAGCGGGCAACAACAATAATGGCTTCTCCCTCCTCCTCCCGCACCAGGCAAACCAGTCTACCTTAATGAGTTTTTTTTTTTTTAAATCGGGAGGAGTTAAATATGATTCAGATTAGAACAGATTATTCAGTTTATTTATAAGAAATGCTTTTATGGTTATTTCAGTCTACAGACAGTTGGGATTAGAATCATGTAAATAATATTAGAATGAGATGCAAAACGATGCAGAAAATTTATTTTCTGGTTTAATAGAACGAATTTGCCACATATACAATGTCTTTTAAAGATTAACTTAAATATTTTAATTAATATTGAATTGACACAGCAATTGTAGGATTTCTCATTCCTACATGAAGCATCAAAGAATTTAAGTGTGACGTGGAAGATTTTTCTCACAATATCTGTGCCTGGCATCTGAACAGGCAGGAGTGAATGGATACGTCAGAGGGATAGTTTAATATTATAAGATTCTATGCTATCTTCTCTAATAAGGTAATTAGAATTTTCGATACTAGAACCATCTATATATTATATACTAGACCATTACTTATTAATATTGTGACGATAATCTCTTTCAAGAGAGATTGAGCCTGCTCTTCCCTACATAAAGTTACTTATATATATATACAACAATAAGATGCTACCTTCAAGATACGTCTACCAGCAGCACAAAACGTTTTGGCCAGGAGGCAACGTACCCTAAACTACCCCCTACTCCACACTCCCTCCATGCCGGCTCGCCACCGTCATCAACCAGCAAACTACCATTCCCAGCCTGCCTGCTTCTGATTGGTGACCTGCCAACTGCACACCTGCACACCTGCACCTCTGCACCTCAGCGCCCTCTACTTAGTCTATGTTTGGGCTTGAACCAGTCATTGAAGTTAGAATATCTTGTGCTCTCAAGCTGTGAACAACTAACTGATATACGCTCTGTCTATCAGGTGGATGTTTCTCAAGCTAGTGCTTTATTCTCAGCACCTGTTATTTCATTTTGTCTTTATATTATCGAGTAACGTCATCCCTGTTCTTAATTTTTATGCTATATTTTTTTTACTTGTTTGCACTGTACATAGCCAAGGAATTGTCTTTGTTTTTAATTTGATTTCAGTTTAATTAAAATTTCATAGTTCATACTGTGTGTTTTGCGTGTCTTCCCTTACTCTACCACAGACAACAGCCCAGCAGTCGATCTTTTTTTTCCTTTAATGTGATAAGTATTGACACCAGGCATTAGGACTGCCGAACATCTACACTCCTTCATTTTCCCGTCACAATATATACAGCTGTGAATAATCTGTGAAGACACCAGATGGTCAGTCTCCCTCCCGTGTGATGCCCAACAATGGCCCCAGACACCTGTCCGGTCTGAAACCTCATCACACACTGTTCAGTCAACTTTATCCCCGGCTTTTGTGTCACTCAATCCCTCCCTTTTCCGTTGGATTAATAGACCTGAAGCTGGTACCTTCTCGCCAATGGGATTAGCCCACCATCCTTTGAAACTATCCAGGGCGGAGTTTACATGAACCTGCCTCACCTCTCTGAAACAGAGTTGTTTGTTAGGTAGCCCTACAGGTCTCCACTCGGGTCACCTCAACAACTGTTACGGTCAACTATATATTAACCATTTTAGTTGGATCTCATTTCATACAGATTGATGGATATCTTATCTATTTTCCATTCAATTGTAGACTTTTTATCTTACCTATATGTTTCTTTCTGGAATTACATTTTTATATTAACATTGAAATCCTTGTTTCTATCCTCCTTCATTTTCTCTACACATATAACATCAGGCTATTCCAAGTAAATGCCAGGAATTACACCCAAGTGTACGATATGATAAGAGTCCATGCACATATCAAAGATGAGCACAACAACATTGACAGTATTGAGTGACTATTATATATAGTGGTCCTGTCCTATAACAACTAACATTGAAGTAAAATTTGACATGCTCTTCTATTAATACCGTTCCTTGGGATGTTAATATCATCCATAGATCATCTATCGTCATACGAATTTTAATATAAACCGCCATCCCAAGAGTACTCCTTTGCTTACTTTACGAAAAAACGACCATCTCTGGAGTACTCCTCGCTTACCTAATCAACAGCCATCCATCCCTGGAGTACTCCTTGCTTACTTTATCAATAAGCAATTATCCCAGGAGTACTCCACCAGTTATGTTATCAACAAACAACCATCCCTGGGGTATTCTCCACTTATGTCATCACCAACCAGCCATCACTGGCCTTACCTCGTCAACAAAAAGCCATCTCGGGGGTTTGGTGGACAAAAACTTCAGAGAATGTCCAAGTAGAGGAAGGTAGCCTGGAGCCGTGGTGACCCCGCGGGCCGCCCAGTAGTTGTGATGGTAGCTGGAGTAGGCGAAGAGTGCCGTCACCACCGCCACCGCCACCACTACCACCACCATCACCACCATTCTGCCTCTGCAACACATGGGAGATTGGTTAGTACGATACTACCTCCGTGTCACCTGTGATAAGTCTAGTATACCACCACAACACTTATCTTACCAACACCACTACCATACCTTCACCAACACCACTACCATACCATCACCACTACCATACCTTCACAACACCACTACCATACCTTCACCAACACCACTACCATACCTTCACCAACACCACTACCATACCTTCACCAACATCACTACCATACCTTCACCAACACCACTACCATACCTTCACCAACACCACTACCATACCTTCACCAACACCACTACCATACCTTCACCAACACCACTACCATACCTTCACCAACACCACTACCATACCTTCACCAACACCACTACCATACCTTCACCAACACCACTACCATACCTTCACCAACACCACTACCATACCTTCACCAACACCACTACCATACGTTCACCAACACCACTACCATACGTTCACCAACACCACTACCATACGTTCACCAACACCACTACCATACGTTCCCAACACCACTACCATACGTTCACCAACACCACTACCATACCTTCACCAACACCACTACCATACCTTCACCAACACCACTACCATACCTTCACCAACACCACTACCATACCTTCACCAACACCACTACCATACCTTCACCAACACCACTACCATACCTTCACCAACACCACTACCATACCTTCACCAACACCACTACCATACCTTCACCAACATCTCTACCATACCTTCACCAACACCACTACCATACCTTCACCAACACCACTACCATACCTTCACCAACACCACTACCATACCATCACCAACACCACTACCATACCATCACCACTACCATACCATCACCACTACCATACCATCACCACTACCATACCTTCACAACACCACTACCATACCTTCACCAACACCACTACCATACCCTCACCAACACCACTACCATACCTTCACCAACACCACTTCCAAACCTTCACCAACACCACTTCCAAACCTTCACCAACACCACTACCATACCTTCACCAACACCACTACCATACCTTCACCACTACCATACCTTCACCAACACCACTACCATACCCTCACCAACACCACTACCATACCCTCACCAACACCACTACCATACCTTCACCAACACCACTACCATACCATCACCACTACCATACCTTCACCAACACCACTACCATACCTTCACCAACACCACTACCATACCATCACCACTACCATACCTTCACAACACCACTCGTTGCAACTCCACTGAGCAACAGGTTGGAGTAAAAGGTAAGGTGCTCCAGTGGATAAGGGAGTACGTAACAACAGGAAACACCGAGTAACTGTGAGGGGGAAACTTCTGAGTGGCGAGATATCACAAGCGGAGTCCCACAGGGCTCTGTACTTGGACCCATCCTGTTTCTAATATATGTAAACGACCTTCCGGAGGGTATAGACTCATTCCTCTAAATGTTTGCTGATGATGCAAACATTTAGAAAAAACAAAACAAATGAAGATAGACAGACTACAGGATGACCTAGACAAACTGGAGGAATGGTCTAGAAAAAGGCTGCTAAAGTTCAACTCAGGAAAATGTAAAGTAATGAAATTAGGCGAAGGGAACAGAAGGCTGAACACATGGTACCATCTGGGAGGTTATATTCTGCAAGAGTCCAACAGAGAGAAAGATCTGGGGGGTTGAAATCACATCAAACCTGTCCCCAGAGGCCCACATCAAAAGGATATCATCAGCGGCATATGCTAGATTGGCCAACAAAAGAACTGCAGAAATCATCGTCCTTAGTGATGAGTGCAGTCTTAAGACTTTGGTGCTGATGTAATTGGTCATGATGTTTAAGGGAACTGCCTTTAGAAACTTGTGTAAGAAATCGTTCAGGACCTTGTATACCAGTTATATAAGACCAATTCAGGAGTATGTACCTCCAGCCTCGAGTCCGTACCTAGGTAAACACAGGACAAAGTTAGAGAAGATTCAGAGGTATGCCACCAGACTAGTCCCGGAACTGAGAGGTACGAGCTGTGGGGCTAAGGGAGCGGAACCTCACATCGCTGGAAAATAGAATAGTGTCTGGAGAAATGATAACCACCTACAAAATTCTTATGGGAATTGACAGGGTGAGCAAAGACAAACTCTTTAGCACGGGTGGAACACGAACAAGGGGACACAGGTGAAAACTTAGAACCCAAATGAGATACAGAGACATTAGAAAGAATTTTTCAGTGACAGAGTAGTACAAATGGAATGCAATAGGAAGGGATGTGGTGGAGGCAGACTCTATACACAGTTTCAAGTATAGTTTCTTTCAGTTTCTTTCAGTTTTAGGGGGTCGGCATAACTGGCCGATCCCTCACAGTGTTCAAGATAGAGAACTGGATAATCACCTCCAAAGGATTCCTGATCAACCAGGCTGTGATTCATACATTAGGCTGCGAACAGCAGCGTCAAACAGCCTGGTTGACCAGTCCTGCAACGAGGTACCCTGGTCTACGCCCGGGCCCCGGGGACGGTAAGCCCCGGAAACACTTCAAGGTAAATTAAAGGTAGACATGATAGTGCCCAGTAGGTTCAGGAATCTGTACACCTGTTGATTGATAATTGGGAGGTGGGACCAAAGAGCCAGAGCTCAACCCCCGCAAGCATAACTTCATGAGTACCACTACGATGATACTTTCACCAACACCACTATGATACCCTCACCAACACCACTATGATACCCTCACCAACACCACTATGATACCTTCACCAACACCACTATGATACCCTCACCAACACCACTATGATACCCTCACCAACACCACTATGATACCCTCACCAACACCACTATGATACCTTCACCAACACCACTATGATACCCTCACCAACACCACTATGATACCTTCACCAACACCACTATGATACCCTCACCAACACCACTATGATACCCTCACCAACACCACTATGATACCCTCACCAACACCACTATGATACCTTCACCAACACCACACTGTTATTCACAATCACCACTATCATACCTTCAAAAATACCACTACGATACCTTCACCAACACCACTATGATACCTTCACGACATCACTACGATACCTTCACAACCATCACAATGATTCTTTCACCAACAAAATAACAATACCTATTCCAACACCACTCTGATGTCCACCACTGTTCCATCACCAACACTACTACGATACCTTCTCCAACACGACTCTGATACCATTACTAACTCCACTCGGATACTTTCGTTACCACCATTAAAATAACTTTACCAATTCTACTACGACACCTTCATCAACACTACTACGACACCTTCATCAACACCACTACGACACCTTCAACAACACCACTACGACACCTTCATCAACACTACTACGACACCTTCATCAACACCACTACGACACCTTCATCAACACCACTACGACACCTTCAACAACACTGCTACGACACCTTCAACAACACTACTACGACACCTTCATCAACACTACTACGACACCTTCATCAACACTACTACGACACCTTCAACAACACTACTACGACACCTTCATCAACACTACTACGACACCTTCATCAACACTACTACGACACCTTCATCAACACTACTACGACACCTTCATCAACACTACTACGACACCTTCAACAACACCACTACGACACCTTCATCAACACTACTACGACACCTTCATCAACACTACTACGACACCTTCAACAACACTGCTACGACACCTTCAACAACACTACTACGACACCTTCATCAACACCACTACGACACCTTCATCAACACTACTACGACACCTTCATCAACACTACTACGACACCTTCAACAACACCACTACGACACCTTCATCAACACTACTACGACACCTTCATCAACACTACTACGACACCTTCATCAACACTACTACGACACCTTCATCAACACTACTACGACACCTTCATCAACACCACTACGACACCTTCATCAACACTACTACGACACCTTCAACAACACCACTACGACACCTTCAACAACACCACTACGACACCTTCAACAACACTGCTACGACACCTTCAACAACACTACTACGATACCTTCAACAACACCACTACGACACCTTCAACAACACCACTACGACACCTTCAACAACACCACTACGACACCTTCATCAACACCACTACGACACCTTCATCAACACTACTACGACACCTTCAACAACACCACTACGACACCTTCAACAACACTACTACGATTCCTTTCACCAACATCATTACGATACTTTAACAGACACTATTACTGCGCCTTCTCCATCACAATGACATCTTCCACAACAACACCACCACCATGATACATACACCACCATGATACATACACCACGAGGACCCTATAGAGTAATTAAAAGGGCGGGGCCGGTTAATCTTGTTATAAAAGGAGTGTTCGAGGACCAGGTGGAAAGGACAATGCATGTAAATAAATTGAAACAATATCATGCTAGAGAGGAATTAGAACTGCCTTCAGCGGGTCTAGTTCCTGACTCAGCAGTGCTGACTCATGGCTTCACCGACGAGTCAGAAGATGAGGATGACCCTCTGTCATCGCTCATCAGTAGTCAGGTGCAGTCTCGCCACCCTATGGTGACGAGATCTCGCGCTATACAGTAAAGTAACTTCCTTGGTTAGTATAATTTAGTATTCATTAGATTTTCCTGTAAAGGCAATGAGATGTACTATGTCTATACTTGACTCAGGTAGCAACTTTTACCGTGCTCTGGGGTTCCACCTCCACCAAACCCAGAGTATATCTATGCTTCCGCTGTGTTGTGTCTGTCTGTTCCCAGGTCTGATTGGTACACCGACCCAGTTGTTCCAGCCACACGTGAACCCTTGTCTGTAAAGACCGAGGGGGGAGGCACGTTACACAAAGCCCTCCCCCCACCAGACCCAGTAACCCATACATCAGTTACTTTGGGGATGAGTGACTGTCCAAGAGTCACCCGGCCGACGCCTCACGTCACTAACGA